TTTTCACTGTTTGACATTAGCCTTATTGATGATTGCATGTCTGATCCAGTGGGTCATTCAAGGGAATAGTATACTGATCGAGAACTGGGAAGATCCCGGTTCTGGAAATCCATTACTTGATACTTTTAATGGTATATGTGTAGGACTTTTAGGGATCACTGGCTTTGAAACTTCTTGTAATTATATAGAAGATCAAAAGCCTGGTGTCTTTCCAAAGACAATTCGAAATATGTGGGTGTTGGCTTTTATATTTAATGCTCCCATTTCATTTTTAGCAATCACGATAATGCCCTTATCAACTTTCAAAGTACATCAAAATGATATAATTTCTACTTTGGGTGGCTATGCTGCTGGCGATTGGTTGAGAATTTTTATTACCGTCGATGCAGTTATCGTATTAGGTGCTGGTGTGTTGACTGGGTTTGTTGGTGTCTCAGGATTGATTCATAGGATGGCCTCCGATCATCTATTACCACAATTCTTGCTAAATAGAAATCGGTTTACTAATACTTATCATTGGATTATTTTAAGTTTTCTTGTCTTTTGTATAACTTTGTTCACGATAGTTGGAGGCAATGTAACGTCATTATCGGGTGTGTTTGCCGTATCATTTCTCAGTGTATTATGCATGGTAAGCCTAATCTTTCAAATCAATTTTGATAATTTTGTCCAAATTTTAAGCAATTTAAACTTTTTTTTTTCCTTACAAGTTTGCAGTTGGGAATATTTTACTTAAATTCAAACGTGGAAGATTATATCGACCAGTAAGAATTTTTTTTTGCCACAAATTTAATTGTTTTATCTATTTTTATATTTTAATCTTTAGAATTTTGCCTAAAATTGTATCATAGATTCATGTATCTACTGGAACCGCTGTTTTTGGATTTGCATGTATCTTGGCTGGACTAATAGGAAATATAATTTATGACCCAACCATTGCAGGATACTTTGCAATATACTTTGGAATCCTATTTACCATCATGATGATTATGTTGAACAGAGTTTGGCTTTTAAAAACAATTTTCTTCTACTTGGATAAGACCGTAACGTTGCATAAATACAAATTAGATAAAGTGCTTATAAGATCAATCAAAAAGTTGAAGCAACAACCCGTCGTATTTTTTACAAAAACTGATGAACTTCATATTCTAAATAAAGGTATATTTCTATTTTAATACTTTCATTCACTTAGTTAACTCTATTTCTAATAAAAATATGTTTCCATTTCTCTCACGCTTTCAGCCATTCTGTATGTCAAAAATTCAGAATCTAGCAGCTTTTTGAAATTGATTCATATTTATGAAAAAATCGAAGATGTAAGTATGGCAAGTGAGAACGTGTGATCCTTTTTTTTTTTATTGTCCGAAGCGTAGCGAATACTTACTATGGAGACGTAAATGTCCGGACCATCTACGGAAACATATTAGATCACGTAATTTACACTCACAAATTTTCTCAACTACTATACAATGGAATTTCGATCAGAATTCGTTTTAAAAAATTTAATTGGACTCTATTGAGTAGTTGTCGAGAAATTTTCATTCAAAGTTGGGAAATTTCTGCCGTCTTGGAAGAAAATAGCCGCTTTCTAAACTTTGAACGAAAATTTCTCTGATAGAATTCGATAAAAATTTTTAAATGAATTCTATAAAATAGTAGAATTTATTTAAAAAAAAATTATCGAATTTTGATGAGTAGTTGTCGAAAAACTTTCGTTCAAAGTTTGGAAAAAGTCTGCCTCTTAATAGCTGTGGTAAAAATTTCATTAAAACTTTGAACGAAAATTTCTTGATAACTACTCGTCAAAATTTAAAGCGAATTCTCATATTTTATAGAATTTATTTAAAAAAATGTTCATCGAATTCTATCAGGTGTTGAGAAATTTTCGTTCCAAGTTTAAAAAAATTTTTGCCGCGGCTATTTTCTTAGAAAGCGACAGAAATTTTCCCTAATTTTGAATGAAATTTCTCAACAACTATCTGATAGAATTTGATAAGCATTTCTTTAAATGAATTCGCTTAAAAAATTTTTCATCAAATTTTGACGATTAGTTGTTGGGAAATTTTCGTTCAATTGCCGCGGCATTTCCTTCAAGGTGGCAGAAATTTTCCCCTAAATTTGATGAAAATTTCTCAATAACTACTCAATGGAATTTGATGAAATTTTTTTTAAATAATTTCTGTCAATTCAATAAAAAAATTTCCATCGGACAATTGTTGTGATTTTCGATACGTGTAAAATCACGTGATCTGGTACGTGTCATGGATTCCGCTCACATAATCAGCGGTTAAATCAATTAATACTATTAGCTTCGGACACTAACAGCACCTGTCTCCTAGTATAAAATGATGATTATTGTTCAATGTCTTATATTTTCTTCAATTCATTGTTAATCAAGATACCTCCACGACTTGAGGCGAACCATCGTGTCCTTGATGAGGTAAATTTTCTCTTTTTGTGGTATTTAACACTATCGTTGATGCTAACTTTTTTTCTATGTATTAATTATTCAACTTATAGCTATATCCAAAAATACAAATTGATTTGGTAATAATTTATATATAGAATGTATAAACGCGTTATGGTTTTAAGTGCATTGACTACAACTACTTTCGTAGATTTTCATTCAAGGAGAATTTAATCCTAAAACTGTAGAATGTATTTCGAAGCATTTACGAATTCCAAAGGTACGTATGTTCATATTTTAACCGTATTCACATTATGCTATTTACATAATTTTTCCTTTTTTTTAATTTTAATTTTAATATTTTATTTTTTTACATAATATCGATTGTATTTTAATAGTCTCTTATGTTTATCTCATGCCCTGGTAGCGAGTTTAGGATTGGCGAGTTTGGTGGCGTGAGGACTATAATGTTTTGAAATGGATACGATTTTTGTTTTATGGATATAACGACTTCATAATATGATCGTTGATAGATCCTATGTATACAAAATTTGGCAAGCTTTAAAAAAGTTTTCTTTAGCAATATTTTTAAAAGTTTTTTATTTGGCTTGTTTTTTCTATATATCTGTTCATAGTCACAGATATAAAACAAGTCAAAGATTTGTTTGTAAGAGTTCTACCACAAAATCCTGAAAGCCATTTTCCCGAAAGGACATAATATTGACTAAATTGGCCAGCATTATAACTAATGCCGGCTAACTTTGTCGGTACACAGTCAAACCTCTTTTATATCCCTCCTATTAGCTATTAAAAAAACATATAGAAAAAAAAGGGGATATAAAAGAGGTTTAACTGTATTAGGTTCTTTTGAGAATCTGTCTTTTGGGATTTTGTGGTGAAATTATTTGTAAGCTTCAATTTGGTTATTACTAATTAGTTTTTTAATTTTTGTATAATAATGTTATAATAATACTTCTATATAAAAAATATAGATTAAAGTAGTAGCTACATCAAATATAAATTTGACAATAATAAACTATATAAAAAAAAGAAAAGAAAAACAACAAAAAATAGCATAATAAAGGCTTATCCAGTTATTATAGACACTTAGATATGATTTGACTCAACAATAAATTCACTTATTTTTTGGGGCTCTAACTTACTAAAGGTATACGTATCACAAAATTATTAAGCTTACTGTTAGCTTGTTAAGATTATCTTTTTTTTCTCTTTAATTTTTTCTTTAAAAAGATAATTGAAAAAAAGAGAATATATAAAAAAAACAAATATATAAAAAACAAAAGTTTGAAACCACCTTAGACTTGTTCTGATTGGCTAAAATTTATTATCCACATTTTGCGAT